CATCCATGGTTTTCCATGGGCTCTTAGGTACTTGCTCATCATTTTAAAATTGCTTGTGTGTTTGTGTTTTGAAAAGTTTTCGTTTTAACCCTTGCTTCTGTCTTCAAGAGTGTTACGAAGTTTTTTTTTTTGAAAACTTTGTTTGAATAAAAGTGTATGTGTAAAAAGTTTGATTTTGAGCAAGTACCTACTAGCATCTTCCTACTCGAAAAAAGAATTGTTTCTATTCTCGTGTCCTTTAGACAACACTATCCTACTTATTTGAGAAATAGGAAGCATCGTCGTTGGAGTTGTAGGGGTCAATTCGAAAGGGACGTACGATCACTAAAGCAATGTTAGGACGTCTTAGTAATAACCCTAATGTCTTAAGATCGTATTCGAGGAAACATTTCCATAATGACCTATAATGTCCAAATTTATATCTTCTTGTGAGTGCATATTTTGAAATTTGGAGATGAAGATGAATTGTAGGTAATCACATCCTCTTCAAAATGAGCTTTGGATGGGTCATTTTTGATAAAGTATGAGAAAGTTATGCTTGGTCAAAGTTGAGTTGACTTTTCCTGTAAAACCCTAATTTAGCAACTTTTGGGTTTTGATAAATTGTGGGCAATCCTTAATGAATAATGATTAACCCTTGATCAAATGATGAATGATACTTCAAAATGAGTATGTTGACCAAAAATCTTTAAGTTTGACTGTATGTGGGCCATAGTTGACTCTTGACCTAGCACAGTCGATTTTCAGGCCTTTGAGCAATTGACTGAGCAAACTTCCTCTGCAAGGCTTGAAACTTGACATGGATTATCTTGAGAACATATTAGGACAATGGTGAGCATTTGGGATCCTTTGGACTCAAGTACCTTGGTGCAAATTGAAACCCTAATTTGAGGTAGACTGCCTTAGGAGAGAGTTTGTCTGGTCAACCCTTGGATTTCCTTGAGCAATTTGAGGACCTCATTTGAAATGTATTGAGAAATATGGGAGGGAAAATTTTGGGGTACAACAATCACGACAATTGATTATCTGGAAGACCTCAGTAGAAGGTAGTCCGCAATTGAATCTCGGCAGTATATTCTCCTGTTTGATCACGCCAGTTGATTATCCAGAACACCTCGGTAGAAGGTATATTTCAATTGAATCTCGGCAATAGATTCTCCTGGTTGATCACGACAGTTGATTATCTGGAAGAACTCAGTAGAAGGTATATTTCAATTGAATCTCGGTAATAGATTCTCTTGGTTGATCACGACAGTTGATTATCTGGAAGAACTCGGCAGAAGGTAGCTCACAATTGAATCTCGACAGTAGATTATCTTGGTTGATCACAATAGTTGATTATCCGGAAGATCTCGGCAGAAGGTATTCCACAATTGAATCTTGGCAGTAGATTCTCTTGGTTAATCACGGTAGTTGATTATCCGGAAGACCTCAGTAGAAGGTGTATTTCAATTGAATCTCGGCAGTAGATTCTCCTGGTTTATCACGGAAGTTGATTATCCAAAAGACCTTGGCAGAAGGTATATTTCAATTGAATGTCAACAGTAGATTCTCCTGGTTGATCACGGCAGTTGATTTTCCAGAAGACCTCGGCAGAAGGTATTTCAACAAAATATCAGCAGTAGATTATCCTAGTTAATCTTGGCAGATGATTATCTAGAAGACACCGGTAGAAGGTAGTTCTCAATTGAATCTCGGCAGCAGATTCCTTAGAAATCTCGGCAGTAGATTTCCCGTCAAAAAGCCTCATATCAAGCATGACATACACATAACCATATCAAAATATCAACCTCATCCATAAAATTTGGTGCATCTAATATACAGAAACACCAAAGATCATTTGATAAAGCATCAAAGTTTATTTTGGTTAGAAAAACATCGAAATAAAATCCACACCTGTGTCCACATCTACACTTATTTCCACGACTATGCTTCCGTCTGTGCCTATGTTTACGCCTACTCCTACGATACAAACATCAAGATCTTGCTGATACTATTCCAGTAGTCCTACTAACGTTGGTGCAAAATCCAACTCCTAATTAGCATGGTTTCTCAGAAAAAATAGTTCTTGACTGATAGCCTTCCTTAAGCATTGGTTTCGTAGTTCAAAAAACAGGGCATTGCATTTATCAATCATTGCATCATTTCAATTCATAACATTATGATATCAAGCATACATACCATACATCATGCATACATCAATCATAATCATATCAAACATGCATTACATTCAATCATATACACCCATGAAAAACTGCATAAAATCTCGAGGCATGACTACCAGCTAAGACGAACTCAAATTCAAATCCAAGATCAACATTATCCATTCATCATGCTATAGCTACCTCAGTTGAGAACAGATACAACCATCAAAGGTGCAGCTATCAAAATTTCACTAGGCAACTTACCTACGATTCATATCTAAGGCCTAGTCATCACCAACCTCCAGGCATTACACTTGCAATTATCAAATTCAAACTTCCCAAGTTAGAACCTCTCAAAACATTCAATTTCATTTGGTTATCATGTTAATCAAGCCTCGGTTGAGAACAGACACAACCGGCATCATCAGTGAAACTTCGGTTTCAATCTTTAAACCTAGCATTTTTATGCTAAAGAATTACCTTGGTTGAGAACAGACACAACCGGTAAAAATCTGATCTCATCTCAAATTTAGTTATCTAAGATTTGAATCATCAAAATAGCTTCCTCTACATTATAACTCATTGCGTCAGGCTTCATGCAACAATGTGTTTTCCTTCTTTGTGATATAGCTCATTGTGTCAGGCTCCATGCAGCAATGTACAAAATTTGCAATTTAATCCATTGCATCAGTCTCCATGCAACAGTGTATTCCTTCCTCTACGATATAGTCCATTGTGTCAGGCTCCATGCAGTAATGTACAAAATCTGCAGTTTAACTCATTGTGTCAGTCTCCATGCAGCAATGTTATTATCAAAACTTTCTCCATTATGTCAGGCTTCATGCAGTAATGTACGAAATCAACAATTTAACTCATTGCGTCAGTCTCCATGCAGCGATTTCATTATCAAACTTGTTTCATTGCGTCAGTCTCCATGCAGCAGTTGCCATTATCAAACTTGTTCCATTGCATTAGTCTCCATGCAGCAATGTTTTTATCAAACTTTTCTACGATATAATCCATTGCATCAATATCCAGGAAGCAATGTCATTATCAAGTTTCTTTCTCGGTATAACTCATTACCTCAGTCTTCATACGGCGATGTAGTTATCAAGATCTTCTTAAATATCTATCCCTTAGGTTGTGATAGATATGCGAAATAAATTTATGTAACCCATTGTGTCAGGCTCCATGCAGCAATGTGTGAAATCTGAAATTTAACTCATTGCATCAGTCTCCATGCAGCAGTGTTGTTATCAAGTTTCTTCCTCAATATAACTCATTGCCTCGGTCTCCATGCAGCGATGTAGGTATCAAGCTCTTTTCAAATATCTATCCCCTAGGTTAGGATAGATATGTGAATAAACCTGCATAATCCATTACATCAGTCTCCACGCAGCAATACATCATCCAACTTTGTTTTATCCATCCCCTAGGTTGCAATGAATAAACAAAATCAAATCAAACCAGAACTTACTATATTAGTCTCCAAGCATTAGTAAGTCAGCTTTTCAAACTTGTATCATTTACCTCCTAGGTTACGGTAAATATGAAAAATTCTATAATCTCTTTTAGATATTGACGAGTCATCCGCATCGTCATTAAATAAAAAATTTGGTTCAAACGCCGGTAAGATGATACATTGTTGTCTGTACCTATTCTTCATACTCATGGGAACGTTGTACAACATGTCCTTATAATCTCTCGGACAAATTTTGGGGTCTTCCAATATTTAATGAACTTCCGATCAAACGTGCGAGACTTGCGTATTCTCGTACTATTCAATCGAAAGATAATTAAATAGGAGCAGCTGTCATACCCCAAATTTTCCCTACCATTATTTAGGTTTCTATTCAAATTAAAACCATATCGTATAGGTTTTGTTTTCCATGGGGGTTTAAACAAGAAAAAAGGTGTATTGATCTAAAATAGACCATCGATATCTGATGGCCCATTAGAGTTACATTATTTTTAAGAGGGGTGTGTTTTTATAAAGGGGGTGCATGCTATTGAAGAAATCTTGGGCCATTTCTGAATCAGAACGACCCATTTTAGATTGAGTGGTGTACAAAACAATTTATTTTGTTTAAAACCCAATAGAATTGAATCATAAGACCCATTTAGTTTTTGATTTGTTTTTTGATTATTTTCAGAACTTAATTAAAAAAATTTTTGTTTTTGTCCTTTTGATTATAGAGATTGTTAATAAAAAAAGCTTTTAATTTTTGCACGGTCCATTACTTAAAGTTCAGATCAGGAGAGAAAAATATTTTGTCTTAGTTATAATATTTTTATTATTATTATTAAATATTTATTTTTATTATAGTTATGTTATAAACATAAACCTTGTTTTGTTTATTGAGAATAACGTTTTTGTAAAAAAGAGTATGCAGGCCCAATATTTAAAAATAACACGGCCCATTCAGTTTTGGTTTTAAAAAAATCTGTTTCTTTTGTTTTTAATTATAACATTATTTTTATAATTATTAATTATTATCACTGATTATTTTTTCTCAGAAATTAAATAAAAAAGGAAATTTGGTCTTAATTTTTGAAGTGTTATTAAGGTGGATTTTTTTTGTTTTCTTTCTACCCAGTCCAAAACGCACAGTCCAAAAAGATTGTGAGCCCAGAACCGGAATAACGCGGACAGGCACTGTTTGAATCACAAACAGAAACAGAAACAATAAGCATATACATAAACAAAAACCCTACAGAAACAGAATCGAATCTTTAAAAACCCTAAAACACTATAAAAAAGAAAAAATTACAGAAGAGGACGGACAGAAACAGTACCAAGGACTTCTCAGAACAACTTGTTACAAGCATCCAGAAAATCAATAGTGATACAAGCCATCAAAACAGAACAATAACAACAGTCAAAGAAACGGAATTGAAAACAAAAAAAAAAGGTGGAAGAAGAATACGCGAAACGCCGGCCGCACACTCCGCCGGACTGCCTCTGTAGATCTCATCATCACCGCCAGAACCTTTTATTCTGGTCATGATAAGAGAGAGAGAAGAGAGAATGGGATATAGATGGTAGGTCCCGTGGAAATATGGAGGTATTATCATGCTTGGTATTATTTTCTTCTTTTTTTTTTTGTTTTATTTTTAACAATGCCATGTGTCATGTCCTGCTTAGTATATATTTATTTTATTATTCTTTTTTATCTTGTTAGAATCATGGACAAAAAAAATTTATCTTGGGCCTTAGGTCTTTAAGTTCTTGCACTTACATTTTAAACAGTATACTCCCCTTCCTTATTAGGCCATTCATAAAAAAAATTACAAAAAGAAAAGAATAAGCATAATTTTAGTTAATTAATAATTTAGAACTATTTAATTAGATTAACTATTTAGTTAGTTCAAATAAATCGTTAATTTTATATATATAAACTCTTTTCAATCAAATTAATTTAATATTTTATATTAAAATATTAAAACCCGCGGAATTCACCAAATTACTACGTCTGCGAGCGACACGTGGACAATATCTGGCCACGTGATGAGGAGACTATATCAGACTCTCTCGCTCTACGTCTTAATACAACTAACCAACTTCAAATTATTTTTTTACTAATATAATTAAATTTATATTTATTTTCAAAAAGGTTTGCATTAATATATTTTATCGACCACGAACTACGAAATGGGACTCTGATTCTTCCTAAGAGGATACGTAGGTATACGGTAAAAAATCGTGGCGAGTTCCCTTATTAAAAATTAAAACCCTTTTTTTCCCCTAATAAAACTTAAAACCCTTTTTTCTTAAAAGCGCTTCTAAACCTAGTATCCTTGTGAACAAGGTAGATGAGGGGTGCCTAACACCTTTCCTTCATCTAGAACTGAGTCAGACCTAGAATCTATGTATTTTTTAGAGTTATTCCTTTATATTTCCTTCCTTAGGATAAAAATTAAGGGTGGGGACTCTTGAATTTAAAACCTATTGCAACAACATGAGTTCTCTCTAACTGCATATACCATTCTAACGGTCCCCCGGTCAGGTTGTCTTGAAAGAAGTGCATGAGAAATGGTTCATTATTGGAATGATCTCCCATTTTGCTATAGTAGTGATGAAGATGAGCTTATGGACGACTATCGCCTTTGTGTTTGTCAAAATCGGGGATCTTGAACTCTGAAGGGATAACAATCTCAGGTACTATGCATATGGTAATGGCATTGAAACGAGAATTATTAGAGGTTTCCATGGCATCAAGACGCTCTTTAGTAACATGATGGATTTTAGTAGTCTCAGCAGGATCAACAGTGGGATAATCTGGTGGTCCATTAAGATCAATGACGTTGTCACAATTGTCAACCACCTTCTTCTGAAACACCGGATTATCAGGAGTGATCCCAATAGTAACAATTTTGGGAATCCCATTAGGAAGATTGGGGAACCCATTAGAAATGGAAGAGAAAGCCTCTGCAATCTTGGCAACACTTTGAAGAAGCTCTTCTTGACCTTTAGCAACAGCTTGAAGAGTCTCGAAAAGTTGATTCATTTTATCACTCATAATGTCCATGTCCCTACGGAGAGAATTCTGATTCTGTTCAAAGAGATCCATTAGTCCTCGTGATTGGCACGAGTGCAGTATGGATGTAGAGGAGTCATTGTCGTTGATTCTGAACTCTGAATGAAAAGAAGGTCCCCGATAAGCTTCTGATACAAACAATGAAATGCATGATATTATGAGTGCATGTGTCATACTTCATTTCCAAAGAACTCAAAGACTAGTCAACCCATAAATATCCCTTTTGCGGTATTTCTCTTGGAAATCTCAATTAGAGGAGACTTGTCTTTGAAATTCCATAGAAATGGGATGTATATACATAATGGTAAATGATGTTATGGTATGCAACAATCATAGGATCAAGGTTCCACAGAATTGGGATAACCACTATACTATTTCTGAACATGCCACATATCTCAGGATCAAGGGTCCAAAAAGTAACCCAAAAAAACCTCATGAACATCAGATTCGAGACTAAGAAAATAAATCTGAGGACCGCATAGTCACCTACAAAATAAGTCACCAACATAATAGATCACCAGCAGAACAAGTCACCAATGGTACCTGTAAAGATTATCCCTTCCCACTCACAGGTGAAACTAGGTCAGGGTAAGGCAAGGGTAACTCAGAATCATGGGTACGCCTGAAGCCACTATCGTTGAAACACCTACGTGAAACGATAACACCTCATTTGTAATCTCATATGAGCATGTACAATATGATCGTACTAGCAAACTAAAGTCGACTAGCCGTTCATGTTCCACTCTATTCCTAGTGTCCCTATGGTTGTCACTTGGCCTGGGTATTTGGCCTTTTACCTCATAGTAACACCCACCCAACAAGAAGTAAGTCCAGTATAATAGTAGTATATGGAAAACAATAAAATGCAATGCATACATATGCTCAGGTAATCATGTTTGGATAAATAAACTGAAAGCATAAAAATAAACACCCAAAGAAAAGAAAACAAGATCTACGAGCGACTCCGGGATGGATTGGAAATTGGTCGATCCTGTCCCCAGTGAAGTCGCCAATTGCAACAACCAGCTGAAAGTCATCATACAATAAAGTCACCATCGAACATTTTTTATCCCACATGAAGGTAAAGGTAAACATCAAGAAAACCTGAGAATTGAGAAGTCACGATCTTGCGACCGAGAGATCGAGTAAGGGAGTCTGTTACACGAGGGGAAGGTATTAGCACCCCATAAGTGCTTAATTCCTCAATTCAACCAATTCCGAAATTAATCATCATCAACGATTCAATTAATAATTGATTTCAAGAATTCAAGAAAAATTCAACTCATGAATTCAATTCACATATTATTTCATAAGAATTAATTATGCAAAAGCAATTAAATAAAGTGATGGATTCAAAAAAAAATATCGAAAATTGAATCGGAGAAGATAAAGAGGAGGTTGGCCAGAAATTGAGTGCGAAAATGGAGGGGATCAGAAAACGGCTTGGCAGAACTAGGAGGGGAGACGATAAGTCGAGACGGAGAGATGAGGATCTCTGGTGACACGTGGCGGCCGGAGGGAGTATGTGGCGGCGGCAGAAGGTGTTGGCCGGAGAGGGAGGTGTTCGGTCTGTCACAGTAAGTCAGAGGGAGTGTGCTTGTGGAAATTGAATTGAAGGAGATGAAGATTTTTGATGAGTTTTGGTGTTTGTTCTTAAGAAGCTTGAAGAAAATTGAGAGAGTTTGAGAGAGAATGTGTTTTGATTTTGAGTGTGAAATTTGACAAATGAGTGAAGTGTTATGAAAATAGTGAGGCAAAATCTATATATATTCTTGACAATTGGACTTTGGTTTGGGCAAAGAGAAAGTCCAATCAATTTCTTCACAAAGCTGAATTTTCAGTGTAAGCAAATGCCGTCAAATAGAAAATGCACAAACTCAATGATAATCAGTGTGTAATCTTGACGCGAGACAAGCAACAAAATCGTAGATGATGAAATTTGTGACGCCGTGCCGAAAGAACATATGTGATACGATAAAAATTGAGCGAGTTATGAATTTTCGAGTGGCGAGAATATATGACATTGACACTGTCTTTTTCAGTAATGCAGAATTTTTCACTAATCGGTTTGAGATGCGAGCCATGACTCGAAGTCTTCGGAGCTGAACCCAAACTTGAGCTCTGAAGAAAACTTGTAGCTAACATCATTTGTGAAATTATACCGAAAGAATCGTCTTGATACGATAAAAATCGAAGAAGTTGTGATTTTACAATATCGAGAAAATGGTGGAATAAAAAATTTGGTTCAGCATAATAATTTCTCTAGTAATTCGCATTTTCGGAGGTCTTCCTCACAGAAATAGTCTTCGACCTGAACATTCGGAATGAAGATGACATCGAGACGAATTTTTTGCTCAAATAACACATCAAGAATGTTGATTCGGGCAGAAGTTATGAATTTTTGAACGTCTGAAAAATAAGGGTTCAACACACCATATTCACCATATTTTCACTATATCTTCTAAAATTATCCGCATATTCGGAGGTCTTTCTTACCGAATCAGCTTCTGAGCCGAACGTACGAACTGAAGATGGTATTAAGACGATTTTAACGCCTCAAGAACTGCTCCAAAACAGTACTCCGATCAGAAGTTATGTATTTTCGATTACCCGCGAAATGGCGGACCGACAATTAAATTCAGTAAACTGTGTTCAAAGAATTAAAATTCTCGGAGATCTTCTTCACAAAATTAACCTTCGATCCGAACACGAAAAATAATAAGAAAATCAAGATGATCTCAATGCTCGAAGAATCAACCGAAAGTACTTAATCGGATGAAAGTTACGAATTTCCAAACACCCGATAAGCAGATAACTAGTCATTAAATTCAAACACCATTTCTGGGAAATCAAATTCTTTGAAGACTTTCTTCACATAATTGGCTTCCGATCTGAACAGATGAAATGAAGAAAATATTGAGACGGTTTCAATGTCTGAGGAGCCATTTCAAAGCAGTATCCCGATTGCAAGTTGCGAATTTCTAAGCTCAAACCAGCAAAAATGTTGTTTCTGGTTCGCACTGTCTCAAATTCACCAAAACACTTGATTCCTATGCAATTCAGAGTGTGTTGACATACATGAGAGATTGACATGATGATGGCTTGATTGATTATTGATTTGATAGCTTACGAAATGTGGAACACATTTAAACCATGAAAACCAGACATTTGCCTTGTTATGCTATTGTTTACAGTGATTTCTAGTAAACAACCGCTAGTCCTCTAAACTATCAAATAATCTTAATGACTGTTATTTAATCTCTCTGGTAACTTGCAGGATCGACTAGATTGATCCTATGGGGTATTGGTCGTTTGGATAACTCTAATTGTAAAACTGATATTCATAGTTAGGATTTGTATTTAGAATGTTTTATAGACGCTCAACTCACTTCGATTACCATGTTAAAAGAATCTAATGACATGATCAAGTAAAGAAATATGAAACTGAATTGAATGAAATAAATATTCGATTGCAAAGAAATGTTTACATGCAGAAACAAGTAAGTAACTTTGAATGTAAAGACTTTAATGTAAAAA